CCTGGCCTGCAGAGGGCACTCTAGGTGTAATTTAATCGCCATGTTTAATAAGTTAAGTGTACTGGTACAACATCACCTCGAGGGCACACACGCATCGGCAGGGAATTAGTCACAGTGCTGTCGTGGCTCAGCACCGTCGGCGACGAGCGCCCGGTGACAGAAGGGCCGTACACCTCACCTGGTCACGCAGTTCACCTAGTTTAACCATGTTGTACCTGGAAAGGCCGACGTCTTGATTTAATAGCGTGACCAGTGATGAACATTTTAGGCTGCATACCGCCACCTACTGTTCTGGAGTGTGTAGTGTCATGGTACGACCAGTGATTTTTTTTAGGTAACACCGCCTACTGCCGTGATGCGTGATTCGTTCTTTTATTTCAATCGAATTTCAGTGGATTTGTTGCGATTTTAATTGGTTCTTTAAATAGGATTTCATTTAATGTTGTTGTTGTATGTTTTCTTTGGGAATTCCTGTGTTCTATCTCTTACGTGTGTAGGATAAATATTTGATTTTAGGGGAAAATACTTCACCGATATACTTCGCCTGGTTAGGGACCGGAACTAATGGTGCGTGTCACTAATTAACAGTTCCACCAGGGAGAGTGCGTAGACGGTGATGAGGCGATGGCGTGCGGGGCTTTGTTGTTTTGTTTTTTCCAGATTGTTGATCAATAATTCCACGATAAGTGTTGACAGAACAGTAAATGGGATGATCTGAGCTGGAACAACTCGGCTCCGTTTACAGCCTCACAGTAAAATCTGTGGCGTGACGATGGGCCAATCACAGAGAGAAATTAGTTCTCGACTGTTCCACTAACAGTACTCTGCACCGAGAAGTTCTCAGCCGCGCTGACCAGAACAAACCCAGCCCGCTGTGAGAATAACTCAAACGACCTGTAGGTGACGCTTGACAGCCGTTTTTAACAATTCTGTCTGACAGTAGCCGTAAGCTCAGCTGCGTGTCACTTTTCCCAAAATGTGCTTTATCGTAACTGACAGGTTTCCACGCAGAAACCCACATGGATGTGACACGAGGGAAAAGTTCTTGTGCACGACAGGTAGAACCGGTGCAGAGCTGAGAGACGTGTCAGAAACCCTGGCCGTCACCGGTGGCTCAAAACTCTGAACGGACGCCTGCCGTCGCCCGGATCCTGTCACATCCACTGACACGTGGTGGAAGTCGTCCTCCTCTCCTCACCTCAACTCCCCGAGGACATGTGTGGACCGGGGCCTCAGAGACAGAGACTGTCAGACACCAGGGCTGCACACACACACAGACACACACAGACACACAGAGACACACACAGACACACACAGACACACACACACACAGACACACACAGAGCGACTGACTCTCAACACTGGACACAGAGATTTGACTGAACCAGACTGGACCAGGATGAAAACAAAAAACCAGTCCAATGTCCAGCGGAAGTTAGTCTCTGTTTGGTGTTTATTCAACTTGTAAAACAGTCGCACCTTGTTTGACCTTCTGACCTTTGGTTTGGGAAACGAAACGCTGTCCATTAATTAAAATTCCAAGGAGAAAATAGTGGAAAAATAATCAGGATGAGCCTCAGCCAGGACAGACAGAGATACAGAGCTCGAGCAAATTAGACATCCCTGTCTTGTCCATCACAGCGCCACCTATAGTACAGCATATGGACAAACAACCATTCACACTCATCTAAAATACTGTTACTGTAACTAAATCAAAGATTAGGAAAAAAAATTGAATTTAATTCGTATTTATTTCCAGACTCTACACATGCCGGTCTACATGCCTATGTGTCCCTGGGCAAATGATAAACTGTAAAAAAAAGACTGGGTCGGGGCCCTCAGGTGGGTCGCAACAAATTTGTTTGGGGTCGTCTCACATCATGTTTCCCAGAAGTTTGCAAATAATGTCTATTGACTTGAGTCGTGTCAAAGTTTGTGACTTTTAAAATATGGGTCCCCAGAAAAAAGTTTGGGAAACACTGCCTTAAAGAACATGGAATATTGCAATGGTTTTAGCTCAGAAAAAAGATAAAAAAGATAAAAATATGTTTTTGAAAAAAGCCTTCTAGACCAGAGATCGCTGAGATGACAGTTTAAAAAGTTACCACAAGTTAAAGAAACTTTTCCCAAACCAGATACATTTAACCAACACAAACATCTGAAGGTTTTACATCCTTGACAGTTGGAATATAGTTTGTTATTCTGTAAATATATTACATGTTGTTCAATAAACTCTGTGTGAGTCTCAGACCAACATCAGAGCTGTGGGTTGTTTTTTAAGTCTTCGTGTATGAGTTTGTGGGGAAAGTAAAGTCAGCAGGAGCCTCACAACAAATGATTACCCCGGGGCCCCCAACTGGTTAATGTGGGTACGGTTCAAGGACTGATGCTTTGATGCAGTCTTCATTTCATTAAAGAACACGGTTTCAGTGCAGATGAACATGAAAAGCTCACATGTAGATGACTGCCCCTCGGGGGCTGCAGTTTAATTAACCGAATCACCGATGTAAAAAGGGTAAAAACGGAAACTTCTCGGGATTGATTTCGGCTTCGCTTTACCATAAAATCCTAATACGATTATTATTATTTCACTGGAGCCGGCGCCATTGGAGGAATAAAAGACTGAGGAAGACGTAAAAAAAAAAAAGAGCGTGTCATTGTTGCCTGTCCATTCACCAGGAGCGGTGACAGCGAGTTCTCATTAGTGCACGACGTCGCCGCTGACGAGCTTGAAGCTGGATTCACCAAATGTGATTTAACAGACTAAAAAAATGGATAAAAAATAACATTTTTATTATAGTAAAACAAATGACAATACAGTTTACTGTAATTAAAACACATAATACTACAGTGTAAATATAATGGAGTAACAATAACACAATGTGGGCCCACGGACCATTTAACCATAAATTAAATTAAAAAATGTAAAATACACCATATGTTCATCTTTTTTTTTTTACCGCTTTCTAATTGAAACAGGCGATATGAAAAAAAATTCTTCACGCTCAAGGTTGGAAATAAAATTACTGTTTCCGGTGAAACACTGCCACAATGCGGTTACTATTAGTATTCCATTATTTTATTTGTAGTTTGGTCAGTGTTTTTAATGATCATTACAGAAGGTAATGACTTCTTTCTCAACTGTCAACTGTTTGTAATTAATTAACTGGAACATTTTTCACATCATCATCAGTCCAGACTGAATTATTCTTTTTTTTTTTTTAGTTTCTTAGACTGGACACCTGAAGTTTATGTTCAACAAAGCAGGTCGTCCAGTTCTCGATCCAGTTTCAGGTTAGAGGATGTGTGAATAGTCCTGGCAGTAACACAGGTTATTACTGCAGTTCATTTAATTAAAGTATGGTCTCTCCCTAAAACCAGATGTACGCTGGTTCACTCTAGTACCAGGAGTGTTGAGGAATGTCCTGCAGACCCAGTCTGGTCTGAGACCCAGTCTGGTCTGAGACTAAGTCTGGTCTGAAGCCAGTTTAGCCTCGGTCCAAGACTCCTCCACTGATCTGTGTATTTTCAGTCTGCCGACGCATCGTGGGTTTGAACAAAAACCCTTTCACAACAATACTGTTTACAACTGCAATAATTGACCAATGTTTCACTCACTCATTTATTGGAATCGTTAGGGGAAAAAAAGGAGAAATTCATTTCTTGTTATAAGAAATAATAGCTTAAATGTTAGCAGTGAAACTAAGACCAATGAGTTAAAAGTTTGGCCAAATGTTTCAAATGAGCAGAGTTATCTTTCAGCTCAGACAAAAGAAAAAATGAAAATAAAAAAATACCTCAGTTTGTTCTGCAGTGATTAAAGTTTAAATTAAAGCAAAAATAATAAAAAAAAACCTTGTAAACAAACTTTATATCCAGAGAAGAAGAGTTTTTTTTACAACAACAAAGGATAACAATGAAACCAATAAGATTTATTATTGTGGTGTCACATCAGTAAAAATAAAACAACATCCACTACAGTAAATCACAGCAGCGTTGGAAAATCTATGTAAATGAACAAAGGGATAAAAAATAAAAATAATAAAATCCTGACTTTCTTACCTAAGCACAGGTAACTGAACTGAACTGTAACTCTATACTTCTGTTTTGTGTTTTGTTGTTTTTTTTCTCAGTGCTGACAGACCCATAGATTCTCCTCTATGATAAACTCCTGACTTGTCTGAATTTGTTTGGAACTCCAGGCCTTAAACAGTGACTCACACACACACACACACACACCTCCGTGCTGATCCACAGATCTGTGGTACATCATCATAAAACCCTGGCTCGGCCTCCAGGAGTGTGTACTGTGTGTGTATACAGTAGCAGCAGCAGCCGTGCCAGTCTGAGCTGAAGGGGGAAAAAAGACTTTGACTTTGACATCGGTTTTGAACCGTCAGCTCCATTATCTGTGCTGTTGATCCACAGTGAACTCATGAATTTAAAAGCAGAGGTTGAGAAGTTTAAACCTCCAACTTCTGATAACTTCCATGAGTATTTCAACTTCTGCCACAGTTGTAAAAAGTTACAGTAAATGTCAGAGAGTCTGAGAACCAGGAAGACTTTTTTGGGGAATTCTTTGAGGCTTATCTTTATCCTTATAAACCTCAGAATCTGTCTTTGGTTAAGAAGAAAAAGTGAATATATGGTAAAACAATTTACAATTGTGCACATTAAATGAGAATAATTTGTCGTATTAGAATAAAACGTTACCTATTAATTAACAACTAGATTTTCATTCATTTATTAATGTTTACTTGTATTATTACAACCTTTATCTCATAAACTACATTCATTTATCTTGAATTAACAACACTTTAAAATGGCTTCTTTTTTTAAATAAATGTGATAAGTTGTTGTGAGAAGGTTATTTGGAATAGTAATACAACGTTTGTCTCATTAAATCACGACTTTACTGTAATAAATATCTGACGATTTGTCCAATTTTCGTAGGGCCCTCTGTTGGTACAGGTGTGTGACGTCACGCCGGTAGTTGCGGAAGTGGCCGGCGGCGTTCGGCTGTTTTCGGGTGAGAGCTGCCTGGAGACCAAGCTGTCGGTTGTCGATATGGACACACACTCAGAGACACGGACACACACCCGGTGAGAGATGGAGGATTGTGGAAAAAACACCGCTGTGAGATCCGCTGCCACTTTGGGCAACAGTTTGTGCTAAGTGTCGTAGTTCGATCCGTCTGTAGGTACAGTAAGGCAGGAGTCTGTGTCGTGGAGTCATGGGAGCGTTACAGTCCTTACCCGCTCAACCTGAATACATTGATCTGGCGCAGAAGACTGGATGTGAGTTTTATTATTATTATTCGAATTGTTTTCTCAACCGAACTGTGAAATGTGTGGAAAAACTTCAAGGTTATAATATAATATAAATCCCTCAGTGAGTTGAAGTTAGTGAAAAACACAGTTGACATTAACTTTTTATTATTTTTACCCATAATGTTTCTAGTAACTTCCACGGCCTTTACGTTAAAGGTAACTTTTAACTGTTCCTAAGTAAACTTACAGTTATATTTGTGGCAAACTATAACATATCGTTGGCTATTGCTACTATTTATATTGATTTTTTTTTTATTTATTATTATTTGGCTTTTTAATTTGGCTAAATAGTCGACTAATTAGCAATGTTTGTAGCTAGCGTTTTAGTTAAATGTCAAGGTTTTGCTTGGTATTTTTACGCAATTGATTTTCAGTTATGAATTCTTCACTGTTACTGTAATGGAAACGTATACAGTACAACAAAATGAGGCAACTATCCATTAGAGTTCTGCTTGTTTAGGTTTTGCCTATTTATTTTTAAAAAACCTTTTGGCTAGTGTCAGATTATTTTATATGCTACAGGTGGTTTTTGATAACATGTAGCTGTTTCTGGGTTGATAATTAGTGGTGTTCTTGGTTGAGTTTTCAGTTTCACTTCTTTTATAGGTCTATTTTTGAAGGCTAAAGACTAGCCATTGAAAGGCTAAAGATTAGCCGTCACTGAAACTGCTGCTTTTGGTCAACAATATTTTTTTTATTTTTTTCTTTAACACATTATTGCTAACATTCGACAGTTCGTCGTTGCTCACTCACATGCAGTCACTTGTTGGCTCTACTTATCTGTCATGTTACAACACTTTAGATTGTTCGGCATGTACGTAATAGACAAACACTATGAAATAACAGACACTACAGTAAATTTCAACACCCTTGAACCGTTGCGTTTACACAGAACTAGTTTGATTATTCAGTAGAGATTTTGGAGAACCATTTTGTAACCATTGTTTTTACCACCTGTCAGGGACGTTTTAATGACGTTTTATCTACTTACATTTGACCTTGGTGTCTGTCCTCATATAAAAATACATAAAAACTATATTGCCATTTTTTTCTTTTTTGGGAAACCGTTAATCCTTCTTCAGACACACTCAGTTACTTCAACATAAAGACTGTGGTATCATTATGTACAGCAGGGGGTGCACAGTAAATACATCAGGATCCTGAGCAGTTACATAAATCATAAATGATATATATAATCAATAGATGTAATTATATTTTAAGATGCTAATCATATGAGCTAAAGTAAAGGTCATATAAGTATTGAGTCAGACAGTGTTGAGTCACAGAACTACAGCCATTTAATCCAAGTACTCCACACACAATATACATATATGTGTATATATACATATATGTATATATGTATATGTATACGTATATATGTGTGTATATATGTATATATACATATATATGTGTATATATGTATACATATATGTGTATATGTATGTATATATATGTGTGTGTACAGTATATATATATATATGTATATATATATGTATATATATCTGCGAGGTTTTCAGTGTAGATCCCTTTACGCTGGTCGATCGTTCATTAAAACAGGTTCCGTCTCCTGCTAATCTTTATAGTCTGGGGTTGTAGCAGCCTCTCGATCAATAATTTACGTTGGGAGGTGTAAGTTTCATAGACTGTCTCACAGGGAGTGACGGCAGCAAAGCAGAGGGTTTTTACATAAATTATGAATATTCAAAAAAAAAATAAAAAAACACACTCTCCACGGCTCCCGGTAAAAACCATCACCATCTGGCACATGTAAATGTTGTATCAACAACTTCTCCTGCCCAGTAAATCTGACAAAACGCTGAACCTGTAAAAAAAACTCTGTGTGTGTGTGTGTGTGTGTGTGTGTTGACAATGTCTCTGCTTCTGGCTGCGTTCATTCACAGCAGTGAGAGTAAATCGTTAGATAAACAGACACACAAGTGTGAAGTGTTTTTTTTTTTCTTTCAGTTTCTTTTGAACAGATCGCAATCCTGCATAAAAGATTCAAACAGCTGAGCCGCGATGAGGAAACCCTCCGGTGAGTCGACTTCCTGCTGTAATTTGAATTTTTCTTCTTCAAATGTTTTCACAGTTCTATATCTGACGACGGGGGAAACCGGTTTGACAGGTTGAATATGAAACAAATGGGTTGAGACATGTGACCTGGTGCTGGTGTCTGTCTGTGTGTGTGTGAGGACTAGTTATAGTATAGCTCTACTAGTGAGGACATTTGTCCAGGTCCACAGTAGGAAGTGTTTTCTCAGGTTTGAAGATTTAGTTAGGATTAGGATTAGGAATATATTCCACAGGGGTAAGGGTTAGTGGTTCACAACATTTTGACATCACATGATCTCGGCTGTCAATCGAGACCAGATATTTTTATATGTGCATTTTATTTGAAATAAAAAAAAAATTAATGAAATTCAAAGAATACAGTTTGTTTAGATATATATTATGTACTGAGTTCATTTTAATTTCAAGCGACCACATTTGAATCCCTGGCGACGACCCCAAGGTTGAGAAACATTGGTTTGGGAATTGTGTTTATGTGCAGAGCTGACAGCCTGACTCTGTGTTTGTGTGTGTGTGCGCGTGTGTGTGCTGCTCCCTCCCAGGAGAGAGAACTTCAGTCAAATCCCAGATCTGGCCTGTAATCCCATCAGGACCCAGATTATCGAGGCGTTCTTTGACAAAAGGTAAAGCAACAAAACCTGTTTGTTTTTTTTGGGTTTTTTTTTTAACACCGAAGTCACGACTTCTCACGCTGCTGCGTTATTTAAATGTAATTCATGGAAATGATTCATAGGCCAGTTCACTGCCCGTGGGTCACATCCCTTTTTGCCTTATTTTTACTTTCCATGTCATTTAGAAAGAGGATTCTGATACTGTGCACTGAACTTGCAGTATTTCCCTCGCGTTTGCTGTGTGAAAAAACTTGAGCTGTTGAACGAGATCACTGCCTCTGTAATCTGGACTGGCTTCATGAAGGACCAAAGATTTTTAATTAGGAGACAAGAGTACAGGCCCTTAATGACATGACTCCATAAATATTGTCCCATCTTGTCGTCCGTAGATGTGACAGACATCAATCTTACAATAATTGAGTCGTTAGTCTGAATAATCAGACCTCATAAAACTTTTTTCAATTTTTTTTCTCATAAAAATAAAATATTTTGTCACTGAAATAAAACGTTTTGTATTATTTTCTAGGAGGTTTACCAACTTTTCTGGCTGAGATGTTTTTTTTTATCACCTAATTTTACAACACGACAGTACATTTTTAACACTGATTCTCTTCTTTCGTTCTTTTTGTAGAAATTATCACCAGAACGACGTGGGGATGGTGGAGGAGATCGGCTTCAAGGAGTTCCTGGTGGTCATGTCCCACTTCAGGCCGCCGTCTCACCGCATGACGGAGGAGCAGCGCGAGAACGTCAGGACGGAGAAGCTGAGATGTGCGTCTTTAAAACCACTGACGCCGTCTGTGACTTCCACTCAGCTGGTAAACAGGTCGTTGTGTTTGTCTCCGCAGTTTTGTTCAACATGCACGACACGGACAACGACGGCACAATAACCCTGGAGGAATACAGACACGTAAGCCTCGGCTAACGGCGCTCATGCTGCGCTAATTGTTTGTGTAATGTTTTCCAGCCGGTGGCTCCGGTTCAGCTGTAAATGTTTTAACCTCCACAACATTAACATTATTTACCAAAACGTAATTAAAGACTCATTTAAAGTCAGATTCCATGAGGTGATAGATTAGTAGCATATTTACTAAAGATTAGCCAGTTTGCTAATATTTAGCCTGTGGATCTGTAACTGAGAAAGAACTGAATGTTTGCTATTATAAAACCAAGATGTTATTTTAAAAGTCAATCACCTGGAATTTTATTTCCCATCGTACAAAAATCATAATTTTGTAGCAACAACAATGTTTAAAATGAAGCTCAGCAGAAGTTCAGTTTTGAAGCATTAGTTTTGTCAACATAGGGGGTGACAATAGTCCTGTCTACAAAAGGGTGGCGCTGTAGGGACAGTTTGGGAACCATGTTTTTTAAAGTTAGATACAAAATGTGTCAAAATTGGCCGAACATGAACCAGAATGAACTAAAATTTAGCACAAAAATTAAAAACACTATGACTGAGTTAAGTAAAAGAAGTTTATATTTTTTTATTTCTTTATTTTATTTTTTGTCTGAACAAAACAACAAAACTCATTAAAAATTCAAAAAACCACTGATTTTTTTTCTGAGCTGATTGACGTCGACGCCGCTTCACTCTACAACGACGACGACCAGCTGCTTCCTGTTACTTAATTGGCAGATGATGAGGAAGAGGAAGAGTCCTGTCGTTTCCTGCCGTCCGTCTCGTCAGGTCACGGCTCCACTCCCACTCCTGCGTCGACATTGACCATCAACTCTCCCTCACATGTGTGCAGGTGGTGGAGGAGCTGCTGTCTCGCAGCGGAGCTCTGGGGAAGGAAACGGCCAAGGGCATCGCTGACGCGGCCATGTTGGAGGTGGCCAGTATTTCAGTTGGCCACATGGTCCGTGAGCTGCAGAAAAGAACTGTTAATGTCAACAAGTCTTTACCTTCTTATCAGTAAACACTGGCTTTTGTTGTGCAGGAACCTGATGAATTCTATGAAGGAATTACATTCGAACACTTCCTCAAGGTAGGAAACTGAAACTTAACCTGTTTTTGGTCTGAAAGGCCTGGAGTTTGAGTTTAAACTAAAGTCTTTGTTTGTTTGTTTTTTTGTACAGCTGCTGAAGGGCTTTGAAATTGAGTCGCGGATGAACATTCGCTTTCTGAACATGGACACATCGACCCTGTGTAAGTGAGTTCTGTTCCACTCTGGAGTCACTTTAATCCCTGACTTTCACTGACTTTGTGTCCGACTGTCTTATCTACGCACCTAAAAAAAAAAAAAGGTTTTGTTTGAAGTTATTGAATTCTAAGCGATGATAAATATATATGCACAAATGCAAATGTGTTTCAAATATATATATATATATATATAACTGCAGCAATAATCAATAATGTATGTCTGGAGTCACGTCCACGTGTGATGCAATACAATCAATACATGATTCACGTTTGGTCTGATATTAAAAAACGCACATGATGCCATTTGCACATTAAAGGAGTGAAACAAGTCTGATTCCCACCTTTTTTTTTTTTTTTTTGCTCCTGTGGGTGGAAAAAAAAAAAGGAAATGGGAGTGTTGTCACGCAACATTCAAGTCCTCGAGTGCAGAGTCAGATCAGAGTGAAAGAGTCAAAGTCAGAGTTAATTTAACCCACGCTGTTTCTACAGGAGCTGAGACTAAAGCACTTGAACTTTAATTCAGTGTCTCCTGTGGTTGGTGTACACTGCCATCTACAGGCGTAAGCGAATAAAACTTAAACTGCGGTAGTTCATTTGAATGAAGTGTCAGCGTTTTTTGAATTAATGGTTCATTGATTATATTTGTAACAAACTGTTTGAGATGTGTCCAGGTCGGCTGTACTACTACAGTACACAAAGACCAAATACTACTTCACATATACTTGGAATTTGTTTTTGTTTTTTGTTTTGTTTTTGGGGTTTTTTTGGCTAAAAATTCACAGAACATTAATGAACTAATAATTAATCAAATCTCAAGAGTTT